CTTTGGAGTGTGGGAGGAAACCGAAGTACTTGGAGGAAACCCACGCAGGCACAGGGGGAACATGCACACTCCAGGCCGGTAGTGACGTGGTTGGGATTCAAACCAACGACCCTAGTACTGCCAGGTTGCATTTAGCCGCTGTTCTGCCCACTTATTTCATGTATCAATTTCTATGTATGGTGGCCAGTCAGCCTCAACCCATTTTGCTGTTGCCTCTTCAGAACAAAGGAGAATATTTTTTAATTTTTTTTTTTTTTTTTTTACAAATTGTGGCATTTCATTAGTTTTCAGCAGTACACACACTGAGAATCGATGGATATGTCCCCGTTTTTGGGTCTGCTGGGAGGAGGTGGTCAACACACAATGTATAAAATTACTGCGGAATCAATAGTTAACTTAGTGATGGATATTGTTTTTAATCCCTCGGAGATGACCAAACACTTCCTGAGCAACAATGTAGTAAATATATACACAGGAGTTACTTGCATCAATGTAACTGTTTGCAGTGACCGTTGTCTTTGCTGGGTGTATATGCAAATGTAATAAAGAATACTATGGTTTTTATGTGATCATTTGTGTGGCATATGTTTTTGTCACCGAAAAAAAAATAATCCCCAATTCACCCAGCTGATGCCTTTTTTTTTGTTTTTATGACTTATGGAGGGATGTGGTGCCCGATGGCCACCACCCACACCAACAAGGTTTTAATATAATCACATGGTTTCTAGATAACCTTCTGAAGAACTCATCCCTTTTCCAGCTTTGGTTGGATGATAAAACTTCCAAAAATCTACTTTCTAGCTTTCTCTTCACCTGGGTCTTATCATGGACACATCCCAAGCAAAGGATTTTTTCCAGGGAAGAAAATGCTTTCTCAGAGCTTGTGCCCAGGGATTGAGGTCAGAGATGTTTCTCAGTAAGATTCTCCATGGGTGTTCTAGGCCTCGTGGCGTTTTAACTTCTTCATGCTCCTGTCAAGCCAAGTAATTCCCTAGCTTGACGGATCTCCAACCCAGCCTTAAATATGGAAAAATCGTTGTTTCCTCATCACTGGAAAGTGATAAAATGCCTGTTTTTCAGGCTGGGGAGAGAGTGTTCTAGGCCCTCACAGGAAGTAAAGTCATCGGAAGCCAAGCTCCCCATCAGTACCCTGGAGCTCTGAGCAAGGATGGCTGCGCAACACTGGACCCCCTTCTGCAAAGATACCCGGTAAGAGTGCAATCAGACATTTCCATGCCTGTGCCATACATCAACCAATAAGGGTACACCAGGAATCTTGCAGCCTTCAAGGAAGCAGTCAAATCCTAATGAACAGAGATTAAATGTCCAGTGATCTCTGCTGTCCACATTTCTGGAATGGACATCTGGAAGTGTAATATCTACAACCGTTACTGCTTGGACAAAGGGGAATGGGCCCGCCAACCTGATATGTCAGAGATGGGAGTCCTTGGAAGCTGATATCCTCCCTTCCAGATTGAACAAGCAGCTGCTGCTGTTTGTGGCCAGGACCTAGGATCCTCTAGCACTGGCATCAGATGCTTTTAGAATTCCTGGTCTCCAGTGTGAATTTTTCCTTGTTCCTTGTTTGTGTCACAAAAAGTGAGAGAAAAAGCCAGTGATTCCCATTGCACCGACCTGGTACACAGACAGACTATAGAATCATAGTGCACTATACATATTAGGTAACTAATTTGTTTAACATTGGAGGCAGCCGGGATGGGCTGCAGGTTTGGGCAAGATCAGAACTGATACTACAGGAGGAGAGGAGGATGAAGACTTAGTAGCACTGATTTCTTGGGATTGGCGAGCTTGTGCTTATTAGAGAAGGATCCATCCAAATGTCCAGCAGGGAGTTGTGAGCGCTGTTTGACTTCTGTGACTGTGGGGACTAACAATCTGTTAAGCAGTATGGCATACTGGTGGGAGCACACTAGAATAAATGCATGAAGAAGTCAGGTTTGTAAAGTGTTTTTTTATACATTTATGAAATGTTATAGTCACTTAATAGGTATTGTGCATTGTTTCTGGAGCTTAAAGACACTGTATTGTGTTTATATGTATTGAGCACTGATTCTTAATACAATTGATGGTTATATAAATGGTTATATGATACATAGTGAACAAAGGTAATGGATAACTTTTGAGGGTTATGATTTAATGAGACAGCGCAACACGGTTTCTTCACATGTTTTCTGTAGCCGCTAATAGTTCCTTTTGATTACACATGACATAGACTGCTAGGAGCTGACCCTTGGCCTCTCCCAAACATGCCAGACATGCTGTCTCAGGATCCTCTATTCCTTCCTGCTTCCCAGTCACTAGCCGTAATTGCATGCCTGCTGAAGCCTGGATCTTAAAGCCGTATTAACCTCGTAAGCAAGCATTTATTATATTGCATCTTACCAATTTGTAGATGTAATGGATGCACTAGCTTTTTTTTTTTTTTTCTTTTCTTTCTTTCATTTATTTTCACATGGTGGTCTAGCTAGTAAGTCGGTTTGTTTTTTAACAGCAAGCTGTCTTGCAGATGTAGCAGTTAGATAGTTGGAGGTGCTTACAATGATCAACTTTTTGTTATTTTATGGAAAACCTTTATTCCAAAAGGTACAAATCTTTTGCTGTAACTGCATAAGTGTTGGATGGAGTTTGGTTTCAATTTGTCAGTGTCTAAATCTGCTAGTACATCTAACACGCCTATCTTCCCAGACTGACAATGCTGCTGTTCAAAGGTGTCTCTGTGCCAATTCATCCAGTGTGCATACACCCTCATACAGGAGGTGTGTTACTGGCCAGCACCAGGTGAAAACTAATAGAAGAAAGTCTTAAAAAAAACCCCAAAAAACTAATGCAAGCACTGCATCTAATAATTGGTAAGCTAGAATGCATTACATTTATGTTGTTGGGTGTAATACTGCTTTATGGGACAAAGGAATCTGTCATTCCTGCCCTGCTAACAGCAGGAAAACCACATCCAGAAAGATCTATTATTGTACCTGGAAATCCTCCTTTGCCTGGTGTAAACACAGGCACTTCAATTCCACCAATGACTTCTGGCCTTCCTACAGTGAAGACTTAACTAGAACTTGGCCATAAGCACCTTGAAGTGCAGGTTTCAGCTTTTTTTTTTTTTCTTTTTCCAGATACTTCTGGCTCGCTCTCATCAACACCTTTTATTCAGAACAGTGTCTCAGAACAGGCCCTTTTTACAGCGCCCTTTGCTTTCTTGGGACCTCAACTTGGTTTTCTCTGCCCTGCAGACACCATCCTTTGAACCTATCAGGGATATCCTTCTAGTTGACCATTTCTTGAAAATGAGCTTTTTTGGTTTCTATTATGTCTGTCAGATGTGTTTTCAGCTGGTGTCTGTCTTGTAAGAAGCAGTTTGTCATTCTTGACAAAGACCATGTAGTTTTATGCCCAAGACCATCTATTCTTCCTGAGATGGTATCCGTTTTCGACCTCAATGACGACATAGTACTTACATTTTTGTGCCCTACTCCTAAGCACCCAAAGGAAATTGCTCTTCATTGCCTGGACACCTATCAGTCTACCTTAGAGTGGAAGTAAAGGCAAAACCTAACTAAATTTAAAACTACACTCAGCCACATTCTAAGCCTAATCTGTCTAGCAAAAATCACGATACTTACCTGTTCTGCAGCCACTCCAGTCTGGTCTCCCGTGGCACCCTTTTGTGTGCGGGACAAAGCCGACAACAGCTGGGAAGTATGGGACTGGACCAGAGCGGCTGCAGAACAGGTAAGTATAGCTATTTTTTTTTTTCTTTACAGGACTAGATAGCTTAGGCTTAGAATGTGGCTGAGAGAGTAAGTTTAGTGTTAAGTTTTGCATTCACTTAAAAGCAACATCTTCTAGCAGGAAGATCTACTTCCTATTCCTCCTTCCCTCAGAATCTCACAGGTGACCTCCTGCTTCCAAGTCCACCATCGCTCAATGGATAAGACAACTCATCACTAGAACCTACAGTCCAAAGGGCGAATCTTGTTTTGCACTTTAACATGCCCACTCCACCAGGTTGGTGGGTGTTTACTGGGCATTTTGACACCAAGCCTCTGTAACCCAACTTTGTAAGGATGCCACCATGTTCTCTGTTCATATCTTTTCAAAGTTGCATGAGGTGGGCAACCAATCTTTGAGTGCAGCTTGTGCACTTATAGTTCATTGCTTTTTTGCACATATACTTGCTGCTTTTACACTGTTTTACAAGATTTGCACATTTATGCAATTTCCCGGTGATTATGTTTGCATTTTCTTGATATTTTGATTTTAAGCGCTGTATTTTGGGATTTTGTTAGTTTTGACTTAGCAGGAAAATCTTTTTCCTGGAGTACTGTACAGACACAGAACTCTCTCCCCTCTGTTCTTTCCATTGCTAGTTACAAAATGGAAGCTAGTTGAGAGTGGAGTTGGAGGGGTTCTATAGGGGGGATGTCTCTATGGCGCTTTTTGTTTTTTGCCAGTGTCACATTATCTGAAGGTAAGTGCAGATAACCCAGTTGTAATGATTTAAAGAAACCCATGTAGTGTCCACTCACAGAAAAAGTTTTTTTTTTTTTTTTTTTATGGCAAGTAAAGAATTATTTTATCATATGTGCTTTTTTTCCCTGGAATGCCTTTTTGATTTTGCCAGTAATTAACCACTTATATACGCCATTTAGTACAGATGGTTATTATGGCATGGTTAGTCTGTGTTTTCAAAGTTTTTAACTTTTGTAGACTTCTACTTGTATTTTCTGGAACCACAATATATCTATTTTATCACTTTACTTGTTTATAATTTTAAGTGATAAATTAAAAGTGACATTTTATATGTATTGCTGCTGTGGTCCCAGATATGGTTCCTTTTATACCTGATGCATACTAAAATATTGACTGGGTTCCACAGCTTTTTTCCAAGATAGTGGTAGAATTATATATCCTTTTGAAGAATGTTTGATTGACTTGTATTTGGTTCTTTAATAATCGTGAACTGTTTTGTCTAGAGATGACCCGGAGAACGAGAGCAGTGAGCTGGCAACTGCCAAGGAGTACTTTAGAGACCTTTATCATCGTGTTGATGTGATCTTCTGTGACAAGACAATTCCTAATGATCCAGGATTCGTGGTTACGTTGTCTAACAGAATGAATTACTCTCATGTATGTATATGTTAAAGAACGTTTGTCTTTTAAGGCAGTTTAATCTATGAAATTCAATGTAATTTTGGTAGATGTGGTACATTTACCCAAAGATAGTTTCATAGCATAGCAGCCATAGATCCTATGTAATGGCAAAAGAAGAATAACTTACTGTTTGAACTGAAACACAAGTGCTATTAACTACTTTCCTGCTGCCCTATAGCAGAAGTACTGCGGCAGGGCTGCAAAAAGTCACATAAATATATGTGATATGCATTTCTAGGTGGGGGCATGCGTGACGCCCTACCCGTGTGCCGCTACTGAGTCTCGGCCGGCGATTCTATTGGCTGCTGGACATGTCAGTCACTGAGTCCCGGCCGGCGATTCTCAGCTGGGAAATGGGGATCGTCAGTAGAGCTAACGGGAGAAACCTGTGTGTAAACAACACAGGTCTCTCTCCTGTCAGTAAGGTCTGTATTTGCACAGCAGAAAAATACAGAGCAGAATTTCTCCGTAGTAAAACTCAGCACTAAAAGGAATAAAAAAGATTTACAACCCATCATAACAGAGGATGGAACTCTGAAATATTCCAGCAACCCCCAATACCGGCTTTCAGACAACCCTCCAACCTCAGAAATAAACTAATAAGTAGGAAACTTCCTTCTGATCAAGATGTCACAAATAATGGAAGCAAACCCTGCAATAAAAAAACGCTGCAAACTGTGCAACCAAATCAATCCATCAAAAAGTGTCAGACACTCAAAAGGGATCTTCAATATCTCCAGATTATACAGCTACACCTCTAGTAATGTTGTGTACCTTATCCAATGTACTAAATGTAGCAAAGGATCTTATGTTGGCGAAACAGGACAGAAGTTGCAAACAAGGATGAATTTGCACAGACATACTATCAAGGAACATAAAGAAGATGACTTTTGCACACCTGTGGGACACCATTTCGCACAACCAGGCCACACAATGGGAGACCTCAATATTTTAGTTCTTAAAGGAAATTTCCAATCCATTCAGGAAATAAAAAGTTTTGAACTAAGATAATTCTATTTGACACAAGAGATAACGGCCTTAATTTGGACATGGGATTCCTCAATCGTTATCCAACAGTTTTATGACTCCCTCTGTGAGTGTTGTCACCCCCCCCCCCCCCCCCCCCCAGTCTTTGCTTTTGCTGTGTCTTATCTCTAGTCTAATCCTAGTCTTTTAACCATTTGTGTACATATGTGTGTGTTTTTTGTTTTCTTTCATCCCCCACATCTTTTCTAACATTCTGCTAAAACTTTGTAGTAGTACTGCTTTGACCTTGAAGAAGGGGACATACCCCGAAAGCTTTGTCCTTAAAATTGTATGTTAGTGCAAATAAAAAAAGTATCATGTCAGTACTCAATTGTTTCTGTCCGTAGTAAAACAAAACACAGCACATGATGTAAAGCACGGTTAACCCTTTGATTGTCCCAGTTTTAACCCCTTCCTGCCTAGTGTCTTCAGTACAGTGTCACTGCTTTTTATTAGCACTGATTACTGTATTAGTGTCTTTGGGATGCCAGTGGCAGGTAGTTCCCACCCAGTGTCAGAACCGCAGTTCCACTATAAGTCGCTGATTGCCACCATTACTAGTATAAAAAAAAAACAAATTCCAGTGTATATATGCCACCATTTGTAGGTACTATAACTTTCACGTAAACCAATTATTATACGGTTATTGGGATTTTTTTTTTAGCAAAGACATGTACAAGTAACGCAGTGCCATATCGCAAAAAATTACCTGGTCAGAAAGGGGGGTAAATCCTCTTGAGGGTAAAAGGTTAAAGTAGTTTCTTAAAGCGGAAGTAAACTCTTGTATATAAAAAAAAAAAATCTCCCTGCAAGATAAAAGCATAATGTGCCAGTATGCATCACATACTAGCACATTATGAAACCACTTAATATGAAGCTGTCCAGCAGCATGCTGTCACCGATGACAAGGCTTCCATCTTCACCCAGCCTTTGGATGCAAAAGAAATAAACAGGGTACACCGGCCTAGTGCATTACCTAAAATAAATTTTATTGATAAAAGGTGATAAGTATTATACTCACAAAGGACAAGTACATCAAGAGCTCATCGCAAAAAGGAACAGCAATGTCCAGTCCACATTGCATAGCTTCACACAATAGGATCCCTGGACCTCCAACAGGCTAACACATTTCGAGGTCCTGCCTCTTCCTCAGAACGAATAGAACCAATGCCTGTACCCTTCTCTTAAATAGTCTAGTGACTAGTCAAAATTATGCAAGAGGGCCATCATTAGCTCCCCCAGGAGTGGGGACAAGTCCCATGTGTGCTGCCCATCCTGAGAAGATGAACTATTATTATCTGTAAACAATTCTGGGTATACTAACAAAATACAAAAAATCCCTAAAACCATGAAAACCCATAAAGAACATATAAGTTCCTATTATCGCATTAAACTATATAAAACTACGTCACATAGTACATCTATGAAGGCTGCTAATACACTCAAAGGGGATATAGGTGTTTGAATTGTAAGTGAAAGATCTTCTGAAGTGTACGCACTATCTGGATACTGCATACGTCTATTATTGATGGATTCCATAGTGAAATCTTTTCATCTGCCCTCAGTGTACATGAGCAGGTGGCCTGCTGGAACACATGCCAGCCACGTAAACCCGGAAGAGCAGCTGCCGTGCGTCCCACACGGACGTGGGTGATCTGCCAGAACACATGCTGGCATGTGTGACCTGCTGGAACGCACGCTAGCACCTTCACCCCGGAAGGATGGCAAATGGTGATCGAGACCCCTATAGGTGGAAGGACGTGCTGCATCAGTCCAGATCGTAAGCCAGATCTAAGCAGCTGCTCAGAAAGGAACGTCCACATATACCCCTGCTGATGGACTAAAGGGGCTATATTGCAGGGAAAACCCATGGGATGGACCAAAGCAAATCAACTTTGATTCCAAAGTGTGCTGCTTAATCGGGGGAATAATACCTGGGAAATAGGTTGTGCAACATAAAGCTAAAACTTACATGGACAAATATATATATATATATATATATATATATATATATATATATATATAATGTCACTAAGGCCCGTAAGTAGACTATCAATAACTAAACATGTAAGTACGAGTTTACATGCATTTGATGGATAACAGATCACATGAACTCAATCATATTGTATGATATAAAGAACTTAAGGGTACAGGGCATTGTTACACTCTGATTAAAAGTAAATACTAGTTATATTTTTAAAACAATACAATAACTCAGGCACCTAGAGAAACTGAGAAACCAAAACTACATGTACCGTAAAAGAACCACCCTACGACAGTATGGCTGGTAAATTAGTGGGTCAATGAACGTCTTGATGTATCTCCATGTCTTCATTGAGCCCACCAGGAACAAGAGAACCTAAAGTAAGTATCCAATACGTCTCTCTTTTACGTAACTTCTGAAATTCTCTGCCGTTGTCTGATGCCACATGTACATGCAGGCCCCACAATTCTTCACCCCGCATTTGTAACTACTTTTTTGATTAAAAAGGACTGACCAAGGATTGGCACTGCTCCTCTCAGTGATTCATGGTTTACTGATCCTGCTGGGTGCAATGTACTGTAACTTCTAAGTTCCCTAGATTTTCTAAATCTGATTTCTGGTCTAGGAGCAAGAAAATGTCCCAAAACAGGATCCTGTTTTAGGATGTTCCAATTCCTCTGAAGATTCATTGTATAAGCTTTGGTATTGAACCTAGTACAGAATCTGACTTGGTCTGTATGTTTAGTGTTTATGTCCTTATTCTTTTGCCTAGTGGGTTCAGTCAACACCTGTGACTTCCTTTAAAGGGCACTCATCATATTGGACCAATACTTGTGATAGGCCTCCTCCACATGGGCCTCACTGTAGCCCTTTTCCAGGAACTTAGTTCTGAGGATGGCACCTTGCTCCTCATCTATTCTTGTGCTACAAGTTCTCCTTAGTCTGCAATATTGTCTGAACAGGACATTTTGAATCCACCGGGGATGGTGATTACTGCTGGCGTGTAAATATGAATTGTCGACTCTCAGCTTAAAATGTGTTTTGGAGCGGATATTCCCATTCATATTCACTTGTAGCTCCAAATCTGAAAAGCATGTCTCATCAACCACATGTGTGGTAGAAGAATTTTCCAGTGGCAAAAGAATTTTCTTTGCACTGTGCAAGGAAACCACCTAAATCCTCATCCGACCCATTCCAGATGATCATCTGGTCTTTGTTCTGGGTTCACAGGCTCCAGCCTTCTGAATTGCTGAGGTGCAATGACATCACTCCCATGCATGCATACAGGAATCACTGTTGCGGCACAGAGCTCTGAAAGGATGACATGAGTATACCATTGCTTCATTTCACTGATGATGTCACTGGCTGGAGAAATGGTGAATATCTCCTAAATGGTGCACATTTAGGAGATATTCCCTGTACCTACAGGTAAGCTTTTTTATAAGCTTACTTGTAGTTACAAGTGTCCAAGCACAGTTTACTAGCACTTTAAACATACATCACAGACAGGGGAGTGTAATATTCATGACTACCTGGGTTATGCTTCCATCCTTGGTGGGGCAGAGGTTGGTTGCTAAGGCCAGCAGGCCAAGAGGGACACTGTATGCAGAATTGCCCAAGCAGGCTTGGCCAGTAATGTTGCGGGTCAGTGATGAATCCTGCGTGTATTGATCTCCGGTGTACAGTCTGGTGGGGTGCTGTACAAGTCCAGGGCAGTTATTCCCCTGGAGTGAAGTCAAGTCCCTGAAGGCCCTCTAGGGGGCAAGCCTGCTGTGATGGATTAAGACTGAGCATGCTGGCTCTGCAGCTATGGTCTGGTGAGTGCCACTGAATACTAGTGGAGAAATGTATTAAATTCTCTTGACTGTTGTTTGGGGGTATTTGCTGCCAGTTTCACTGTGAGGGGAAATCTTTTGGTAGTGGAGTGCAGAAGTCGCTGTTCTCTAGTCTTGGGCACAGTGCATGTGCTTTTCCAGCTGTCTGAGCTTGCACGTCATAGGGATTCTGGCATAGCACACCAAGTTTGTCTGCTCAACACTATTCAGCCTCCAAGTCTGCACGGTAGCAGTTGTCGCTTCTTTAATGCCAGGCACAGCAAGTATTGGGACACTTGTCTACAGGTGGTGATTGGTACATAGGTTTTCTGGCTCAGGCTGACACTTCCCTCAGCTGGGTGGCCACCTTCATCTGAGGTTTACAGGCCTTTTTAACACTCAGCAAGCCATTGTCTCACAGAATCAGAGGATGGTGTGGAAACCTCCCAAATCCCTCTGTTGCACCAATAATCCTGGTATTAACCACTTTCCATCAGGATGTTTATATAGATTCTTCAGATGGGAAGTGGTTAAAGACGCCACAGATGATAGGTTGGAGGCAGTCTTTAAAGTAGCGTCTTCTCTTGTAAGAGCAGCTCTACAGCCTGCTATGGCTCCAGTGTAAGTTTTCAAAGCACTTAAAAGTATAGGCAACATATATGCTCCATTATAGAGAATCCGATCCGGAGGACCCTGCCGTTTGGCTGCTCCTGGAAGACTTTCTGAGAGCCTTGATTTTCTTGGTGGATGCCTTTTTGAAGACACCATTTCTGTCCACATGAGAAGGATCCTAGTGTGGGCCAGCAGAACTTCTCTGCAAGGAGCAAATTGAGAGGCTGACCTTGGAGGGTAAACTTGGTGACTTGGTTGGGTCATCCTTGTAAGCCTTTATCCAGAAGGTGACTGTGGGGGTGAGTACATTCTAATCTAAGAAGTGTTCCCCTTCACTCTTTGGGTCCTCGAGTTGTTTGAATTTTACAGCTTCATTTTAACAGTCTGATTCCCTCTTTGTTCTCCCTTGGGGTCCTCTGAAGCTCATGAAATCTGCAGGGTTGGTTATTGCTTTTTTTTTTTTTTTTTTGAGACCAGGGGAATACCTGGCATCAATGAGTATCCAAGATTCTTATGTGCCTATTCCTATTTATCTACCTCATCAGCGCTTTCTGTGAACTGGAATGGGAGACAGTCATATCTATTTTGTCACACTGCCTTTTGGTCCATCCTCTTCTCCTATTACCTCCGCTCTTTGCAGAATTCCAGGCAGCCAGGTCATGCGTTCTGTTTGACCTTTTCCTGAAGGGTTTGTCTTCCTTACAGCTGTCTGCAAACATCCACAGGACGTTAGATGATCCAGGGTTTGCTGGGTGATCAGTTTTAAAAAAAAATCTTCTCCATTGTGTCCGTGCCATTGACAAGAAACAGGAGTTCCTCTTGCATCAGAAGTAGTTTGATTCTTGTTGAGAATGATACTATGGGTCTCAGTCGTACCCATGCCTGTCTCCTTAAGGGCGATCCCTGGGGGCCAGTTTCTCTCTACTGGTTGGTTCAGGACATGGAGTGGTTCATGCTCCAAGATGCATCTCAGACCATGTGTTGGATGTGTGAAGGCCATCTGAGGGAGGCTTCATATCTCTCTGAACTGTCTGTGGGTGATATAAACTAGTCTCCTGCTCCAGGTATTTGACAGGAACAGGGTGTGTTTTAAAGGATATGTTAACACAACATTTCATATTGATAATGGGTGCCTGCTTTGCCATGAGAAGCTTTTCTGTTCTTTTTGAATTGTTTCCGTTGTGTAAAATACCTGGTGTTCCTGGCATTCCCTCTGCTTTCCTAATAAAAGCTGACAACACTAGGCATGGGAGGGCAATGTGGCTAGTGTTCTGGCTTTGCTGGAAACTCTGCCTGCTCTACGCCAGTGATCAGACTGGTACTGACATGCTTCCCCTCCCTCCCCATGCCCCTTCACAGCCTTTCACTGGGAAGACCAGTGTGCTGTGGTTTCTGCTCCCCTGATCTCTGAGCTTCTGTATGCAGCTAAGAACAGAGGGTATGTGATCACTTTAAAAAACAAAAAGGAACAAAATGGAATTTTATATTTTTTTTTTATATGTATACAAAATTTTTTCCTTTAAGTTCTATTTAAAGTGTGTGTGTGTGTGTGTGTGTGTGTGTGTGTGTGTGTGTGTGTGTGTGTGTGTGTGTGTGTGTGTGTGTGTGTGTGTGTGTGTGTGTGTGTGTGTGTGTGTGGTTTTACAAGGTGAAGGTTTACATACACCTTTATTACATTGGATAACCTGTCTACCTAGGGCAGTGGTGGTGAACCTATAGAACGCATGCCGCAGTGGGCAAGCAGAGCCCTCTCTGTTAGCACATGGGCCAAGTCGCCCCAGCAGCTGAGCATTGGATAATTGCGCACATAGGGGCCATGCGCATGCTCAGAAAGGAGTAGCGATGTCGCGACTCGTTAGCCGCAGCTCGACCAAGCTTTCACATGGCCAGTCATTGCGCTGCCAAGGATACGTATATTGGACTGGCTCTGAGTTTTAATATATTTGTTTTTAGGAGCTTGTGTCCCTTAATGGACTCCAAGAAAAGGGATTTTATTGGTTTCCAGAGGTTTTAACATGCCCAGTACTCTGATACATACTGTTACTTGGTACCTTGTTTCAAAATATAAATTGTGTATGCTTAGCTTCTTGTTTCCAGTCTGCTAGTGGAGGGCACCAGTCTGAGAAATATCAGATCTTTTATCCACAATGCGGATAGTTTGCGGTTAGGGACAGATGTTTGAGCCTGAATGCAATCAGCCTGTTCGAATCAAATGGTTCACCAGTTAAAAAAAAATAGAGGTTGCCTGCATCATTTTCTTCATATCCGCAATTAATTCTTTCTACTAGGCAACTGTAGCAATAGCCTTTCATTTGATTCCAGATTGTCACCAGACTTAATTTTTCAGTGACGTTTTAACAATTTAAATAGTGAAGTCTGACCGGGTCTTTTTAAGTATGTACATAAAATATTGTGGAATGCTGTCTTTCAGGTTGCAAAGACTGTTGCACAAAGACTTAACACCGATCCAATGCTTCTGCAGTTTTTCAAATCTCAAGGGTAAGCATTGTATTTTTCACACTTTTCAAAACAGCTAAAATATAACTTTCAGTAAGGATGAACTTATAGTCAAGCAGCAAATTCCTCAGAATAAATACATTTTGTGTAAGGGAATTGTATTTCCTGCCAAAGGATTTGTATTCATCCAGCCCTGAGATATAAACAGCTCTGTCATACCACAGTCTCACCTGGCTTGAAAGTATACATAACCTTTCTTTGCTACAGCTCGGTAGCACTTATGTCCCCTCCCCACTCTCAGCCTGTGACTGGACAGGTGGAGGAAATGCAGCAGACCGATACTCGTGTCTGTCCCTGATTTTGTTTTTCATATTGGCACGTTCTTGCACTGCTTATCGACTTTGTGCTTCACCTTTCCCTAGTCTGAGCTCCGTTGTACAGGGGCAGCAAGACGCTGACTCTGGTTCAAATTCATGTAATTGCACTGTTTGCATTAAAAAAAAAAAACATGGAAAGATATGATGAATAAATAGCTGCATTAACTTGTATGTCTTCCCCTTTTAGCAAATTCTTATACTCATCTGTTCATGCTCCTGGCAGATCCACGCTGTACTACCCATGGGGAGCTGCAGAGTCACCACTGAAAACTTTCATGGCACAAAGTCTTTTGAGCATGCACTGACAAAATCTCATTCGTTCTATGGAGATCCTGTCTGTCAGCGGTTGCAGTCTTTTATATTACATCCAGGAATTAATGGGATTTGGTCTACGCATGTGCATAAGGCTATAAACAGCCAGATGAGATCTAGCTTCAGCTGTGTGGCACAAAGCATTCTAAAGATAATCTATATATCAAAAATATTTTTGTATGATTTAGGAGTTTTTTTCGTTTTTCTTTTGAGCCAATTGTGTTGGCTTTTTTAATTTTACAAACATAAGTTGACTGCGTTTCTTGACGTGACCACAGTGCAGCCTTCTTGTTCCACGTTTATGCTTTTGATTAAACTCCTGACTTGCAGTAGACCATTGAAATTATTCCACAAATTATTTTTAATTTGATAGCCTACAAGGGGAAATAGTAGTCTGTGTGTTATAAATCAATGCCTATAGAAGTTTAAAGCAGGGACAACTGAGTTATTAGCATCCCATTGGATGAAAAAAAAAAATACGGTAGCCCATGTATTAAAACACCTCTTTGTAGCTCCGTAGCCACTGCAAGTATGACCCTTCGGGTGGGTTGCATGTTTCCCCCTGCAGTATCAGCATTCAGGTATGCTTTAGGATACAAGTGACCCTGTGCTGATAGGGTCGCTTCAAATAAATTTTGCCTGAGAGGCACTGAAACATTCAAGCATTTATGGCACAGATGGTTCTGTCTCATTACCCATTGTTATAATGCTATAGTACTGTTGCTTGTTAGTGTTCATGTCTGTTGCTTATACTTTATGATTTATAGTTACAGGGATGGTCCTGGAAACCCTCTTAGGCATAATTATGAAGGAACCTTAAGGGATCTTCTGCAATTCTTCAAGCCTAGACAGCCGAAGAAACTTTATTACCAGCAGGTACATCCAGTTACTTAACAAAATGATCAGGTAGAAAATATGATGTGGATGACTTTTTTTTTTTTTTTTTTTTTTTCCTTTTCAATTGCAGCTTAAAATGAAGATCACAGACTTTGAAAACAGAAGAAGTTTCAAGTGTATATGGCTAAATAGCCAATTCAGAGAAGAGGTTTGTATTAAATTAACCATGTGTTTTGTTGTGGAATACTGAGGCTTTGTTGTAATTATCAATTGTAAATGCATGTTCTGAGAGATTGGTGTCAATTCTTGCTTTTTAAGAAAGCACATGCATACAAAGGTCTATGCTTGGACAGTTTAGAATTCATTCATTCTTTAGTGTACATAATGCCATAGGTGTGATTTTTCATTGCTACAGTTTCATGCCAAAGCACTCAGAAACCACATGGAAAGGTTTGTAGTGTAGTATTCAATGGTACATTCTATTTTTGTGTATTGCAGTTTTGTAAAGCGCAACCTGCCTGTCATTCCTTTTAAATTCCCTCTAAATCCCAAAATTTTATATTTTCAGCTTACAGGTCCTTAGATGAGGGTGATTGCTTTAGTTTAATTTTAAAAGGTTTTTTTTTTTGGGGGGGGGGGGGGGGGGATTCTACTGTAAATTGTAGTCCTGGGATTACATTTCTCAATCGCCCTTCTGTATCAGGACAACAGACATAGACAGGACCACAGTACCTTCCCCCATAACATACGAGGGTGTAGTTCTGTAGTTATCAGAGCTAACCAAGAACATTGTAAGGTGTATTGCTGTAATGATCATAGCACAGGCAGAGTGCATAGCAAATTATCAGCTTTATGGCCAGATCAACAGTATTTTTTTCTTACAGTTTCAAATTTATTCCTTCGTGTATATAATGGCGTAGGTATGATTTTTCATTGCTACAGTTTCATACCAAACCACACAGAAACCACATGGAAAAGTTGGTAGTGTATTCAGTGGTACAGATTCTATTTTTGTGTATTGCATTATTTTTTTTTTTTTTTTTTTTTTTTACAAACCACATTTTGGTATATTTAACACACCAAAAGGAGGCAGATTAAGATTTTTTTTTCATTGTCAGATTTTAGCTAATGCTTTAAAGCAATCCTGTTGCTAGATTAAAAGGTTTCAATGCTCTGAAGCGTTGCTGGAAAAAGATGATCAAGTGCCCAATGGGACAATGCCAGATTGCACACCCAGTAGTCTTCTGCAGCTGGGTTCCCACTCCCAGCTGTCACTGTGCTTGTATCAGCATCACTGTTCAGCTCCATGGACCTGAAAGTGCACAGTGATGTTGTACATTCTTCCAGCTGTGTGTTCTCTGTTGGTTTCCTTGCACTGATCATTTTAAAGTGCTGGACCGACCACAGGCAAGAAAAAAAGGCAGCTTAACGGGGGCATAACTAGAAACCCAATGCCCTTTTAAAGATCTCCTTACACAGTTTAAGACTGAACCACCTACCAGTTTAGTGTTCCACAGGAGGTCTGGTGCTAGAATTATTGCTCTTGCTCTGATGTTCGTGGCACCTCACTTGTGTGGCGCGGTTTGCGTTTACATTTGCGTGCAGGACCAACATTTGCATTTGGACAGGGGGACAAAAGCAGCTTTAAAATTATTTTTACTTTTTTTTTTTCTAATCGACTTTGCCATCACATGGGCTGTGACAGGTTTTCTTTATGGAGAAACTGTTGCTTTTGGTTTTTGATGTCACACAGTGGGAGGTACAACATGGTTCCTCTCACTGTGGGTGAAGATGCCGCTGGTCAAATCGGTCCCAGGCTCCCCTGAGAGAGCCTGGGAAAGGCAGCGGCAGGAGAGGGGGAAACCCCCTTCCCTCCACCTGTAAAAAGTCGATTCATCAGCTGTATATTCACTTGGATCACTTTTACAAAAACAGAATCGCTGGCTGAAAAGGCCGTATGTGTGTGTATATATGTATGTATATATATATATATATATATATATATATATATATATATATATATATATATATATATATATATACTGTACAAATGGTGCTATTGAGGGGTGGTTAAAAAGATTAATATAATTGAAAATGTGTCTTGCTAGTTTTCTTTTTCTATAATACTGGAAACAATTTTTCAGCTTCATCTATAGTTATGCCCATATTGCACGTTGTACCATTGTTTTTGTATCTTTTAATTATGCAAAATGTGTAAATGACAATTATAAGATGTTTACCTCAAAAATAGATCAGAATACCCCAAAATAGATCAAAATCACCTAATATTCTGACCTTTTTTTTCATTGCACTATAAAAATAAAAATAAAGCTGGCTTAATATATACACACAGGCGCACTTGCACATTTTCCAAAGGGTGGGACAGTTGACACCACAAATACCCAAAACAAACTAATTTTACTAACTGAAGCTCAGTTAGTAAACGTCTTTTTTTTTTTTTTTTTTTTTTTTTTTTTTTTTTTTTTTTAATCTGTAACATTTTAAAAACCCAAATATCTGAAAACAGTTTTGATTTTCTGCAGAATTTCTGTTACTCTTTCATTCATCATGAACCACATTTATGTATTTTAACTAATGCTTTCTTTCCCTTGTTGCATTAAATAACTATCTCTGTAACAAAATATACATATAAGCATCAGGTCGAATCATATTCACAACAGACCAGATCCTAATAAGCACTACCTAACTTATAAACTGCAGTATGTTTTTGGTTTGCGTATTAACCTTGTGCGTACTTCTGAAAACTCAAAGAGAGGCGCTGCCGTTTGGATTCCATTTCCCAAATTAACAAGTTCTGCAATCTCGTTACACACAAGGTGCTCAATAATCCAAGGGCTTAGGCATATAGGCATTTTCCCTTTCATCACCTGCAAGTTGATGCACCCAGTGGAAGTTGAGTCTTGCTTGAAAGCCTTATGCGCAACATCTTCTGGAGTTCTTGAAGGTATAAGTCAGGATATCACTTAATCATCTTTATAGAGAGAACACATGGTATCTCTTCATTGCAGTCATCACTTTTTGCTCTGTTGGGTTACTTTTCATTTTATTCCATCTTTTTATTTCATTTTATTTCATCTGCAAAGACTGAAATGGGATTTTTAATCCCAGATCCTATATAGTTTATAAATATATTAAAAAGTAAGGGTCCCAACACTGAACCTTGGGATGCACCACTGACAACCCTAGACCATTCAGAGTATGAATCATTAACTACTACTCTTTGAATACGATCTTTTTGCCAGTTTTCTATCCATTTACATACAGATTTTTCCAAGACCGTAGACTTTACCTTGCACATTAGCCATGTGTGGGGAACTGTGTCAAACGCTTTTCAAAATCCAAGTATACCACGTCCACCGCCACCTCTCTGTCCAAGGTTTTACTCACCCTCTCATAAAAAGAAATCAGATTTGTTTGACAACTTCTGTCTTTCATGAATCCATGCTGTCTTTTGCTTAAAATATTTGTTTCCAGCAAGTTACTCATCTATTTGGTCTATTATTAAACTCTCCAGTATCTTCCCAACTATAGAAGTTAAACTAACAGAAGTTTCTTTTTCCCAAATGGTTGTAGCGCTACCCTTGTGAGAACTGCTGTATTGTGGGTATACCTAAGCTTCCCTCCGCACATTCAGGCAACAGGTGTTCTTCACACAGACTTGCATCCAAAGACAAGTGACCAGTCCATGAACTTGGTTTTGTTGTTTTATTAGCTTGGATAGGGATTATGGAATGCCCGATTTTGTCTTGAATCAGTAGAAGGGGGACACTTCTTTCCTATGTACAAAAGCAGATCCTGGACTGTTCTTTTCCCCAAATCCGTCAGTCTTTGCAGATCAGTAGCAGCTGCACTTTACAGGCGAGGAGCTAACAGCCCTTCTAAAATCCCTTACTTACTGTACAGCTACCATGAGTCATCCACAATGATTTTGCCTGTAAAACTCTACACTATTCTAGAGGGTGCTACATAGTCTTTCAGGATATACAGTCAGGTCCATAAATATTGGGACATCGACACAATTCTAAAATTTTTGGCTCTATACACCACCACAATGTATTTGAAATGAAACAAACAAGATGTGCTTTAACTGCAGACTGTCAGCTTTAATTTGAGGGTATTTACATCCAAATCAGGTGAACGGTGTAGGAATTACAACAGTTTGCATATGTGCCTCCCACGTCTTAGGGACCAAAAGTAATGGGACAATTGTCTTCTCAGCTGTTCCATGGCCAGGTGTGTGTTATTACCTCATTATCCCAATTACAATGAGCAGATAAAAGGTCCAGAGTTCATTTCAAGTGTGCTATTTGCATTTGGAACCTGTTGCTGTCAACTCTCAAGATGAGATCCAAAGAGCTGTCACTATCAGTGAAGCAAGCCATCATTAGGCTGAAAAAAACAAAACAAACCCATCAGAGAGATAGCAAAAACATTAGGCGTGGCCAAAACAACTGTTTGGAAAATTCTTAAAAAGAAGGAATGCATCGGTGAGCTCAGCAACACCAAAAGCCCCGGAAGACGATGGAAAACAACTGTGGTGGATGACTGAAGTATTCTTTCCCTGGTGAAGAAAACACCCTTCACAACAGTTGGCCAGATCAAGAACACTCTCCAGGAGGTAGGTGTATGTGTGTCAAAGTCAACAATCAAGAAAAGACTTCACCAGAGTGAACACAGAGGGTTCACCACAAGATGGAAACAACTGGTGAGCCTCAAAAACAGGAAGGCCAGATTAGAGTTTGCCAAACAACATCTAAAAAAAGCCTTCACAGTTCTGGAACAACATCCTATGGACAGATGAGACCAAGATCAACTTGTACCAGAGTGATGGGAAGAGAATAGTATGGAGAAGGAAAGGAACTGCTCATGATCCTAAGCATACCACCTCATCAGTGAAGCATGGTGGTGGTAGTGTCATGGCGTGGGCATGTATGGCTGCTAATGGAACTGGTTCTCTTGTATTTATTGATGATGTGACTGCTGACAAAAGCAGCAGGATGAATTCTGAAGTGTTTGCTTCACAACTCATGAACATGGACGCTGCGACACAGTGCAGATGGACAATGACCCAAAGCAGACTGCAAAAGCAACCAAAGAGTTTTTTAAGGGAAAGAAGTGGAATGTTATGCAATGGCCAAGTCAATCACCTGACCTGAATCCGATTGAGCATGCATTTCACTTGCTGAAGACAAAACTGAAGGCGAAATGCCCCAAGAACAAGCAGGAACTGAAGACAGTTGCAGTAGAGGCCTGGCAGAGCATCACCAGGGATGAAACCCAGCGTCTGGTGATGTCTGTGTGTTCCAGACTTCAGGCTGTAATTGACTGCAAAGGATTTGCAACCAAGTATTAAAAAGTGAAAGTTTGATTTATGATTATTATTCTGTCCCATTACTTTTGGTCCCCTAAGAAGTGGGAGGCACATATGCAAACTGTTGTAATTCCTACACCGTTCACCTGATTTGGATGTAAATACCCTCAAATTAAAGCTGACAGTCTGCAGTTAAAGCACATCTTGTTCTTTTCATTTCAAATCCATTGTGGTGGTGTAAAGAGCCGAACAAAAAAATGTTAGAATTGCGTTGATGTCCCAATATTTATGGACCTGACTGTATGCGATATAGGCACCTCTTTCAATAGGAAATGCATCACCAAAGGCATTTTAAAACTGACCAGTTCTACAGAAGAACTTTATTTTAGTGTCCTCTGTCTAGAGGAGATGCATTTCTGGAACCTGGGTGAGGGAGGCCTCTGTTTCTGGAGATTGCTATACCTACTTTTACCCAGGTTTGTCCCTAGTTTTCCCCTATCCTGTAGTCTGTCATCTGGAGCCCCTTGGTGTTGGGCTTCTGTGGCAGGGCAATGTTAGGCTCTCCATATCCAAGTGGTCTTAGAGGAAGTTTTGGGGTCCTGACTGGTTCACTTTAGGTCATTCGCTCCTGAGAGAGGATTAGAAATATGTCAGTGCCTGTAGCAACCTCCTCTACAGTAAAAGAGTAGTTGGTCTCCATCTGTAGCAACCTCCTCCACAGTAAAAGAGTAGTTGGCCTCCATCTTCCAATTAGGTTTATCTAAATATCATTTATTGCACTCACATTTGTGCATTCCGCCCTGAACCTGGGTTAAGCAGCTTTGTACCATTGCGGTTCAGCTCCACTAGAGCCTAGTGCAAGCGCGGTCTGTTTTCCCATTCAGGAATTTCACCACTTCCAGAATGATGTCGCGTCGAGGTGCAGCTTGAATGATCTACTGATGTCTAATGCTAATGCAGCCAAACACACTGCCCGAGTCAACTCCCCCCCCCCCAACCCCCCCCCCCCCCCCCCCCCCCCCCCCCCCCAAAAAAAAAAGTTTCCTCTCATTACAGCCCTGCTCAGAGTTGCAGAACAGTTTACAGTCACTGTAGTGCTGCAATAGAGCAAAGATCAGCAGTACTGGTGGCAGAACAGGTAAAGTATTTTTTCTTCACAGGATTAGATTTTTATCTTCCAACAGAGTCCATTTAAAACCATAATGTGGAAATTCCCCCTTAAATGCATTCTGCTTGGTGTATAGGCTGTAATTTAGCTGGAACATTCTTAAGCCGACCGTACATGGGTAGAAATTCAGTAGCAATTTGGTTCAACAGGGACCAGCCAAATTTCAGTCCAATCTATTGATCGATGTGTGTACAACCAGCCTGCCTGCTTTTTTTCTGAGCAATTAGTGCCCACATTCATAGCCAGCAACACTGATCATTGTATTCTGATGGTGCAAAAGCTCCCTGCTGTCAGAATACAATACCACAGTGGGAAGGCTTCCCCCATCTACATCAAATGTGTGGATGTGGTATCAGATCATATTTTTTTTTCATTTAGCCTGCTGGTTGAATAAGGAAATAAAGGGATTAATGTATGGGCTACCTTAGGGATATGTGGAACATGTTTACAGTATCAGCAATATGTACTAGCTCGTGCATGGTACTTTTTAGGGTGAAGTTTGAGCTTGTTCCTTCCTTTGTAAAGCACTTAAATCAAGTGTGGTGAATTTCTGCTGACATAGCATATTTTCATACATCATATGACCCTTTTTCTGGTGGACCATTTGCTGGTACATGCAATATTTACAATTCCACAGCATACTACCATGGCACCTTGCATAATAGTCTACCAAAACACACTGCAGGTGGCTGTGAAGCATGCAAGAGGTGGCAGTAAATGACCTCGTGGTAACAGCATGTTATGATTGAAGCGGGCAATATCTCTGATGGAGAAGGGACTGAATACTTGTGTCCAGAGGCCCTTATAAAGTGTTAACAAATCCAATGAGAAGGTGTTCTCTCTCCTGCTGTAGAGAAATGTGTATTTTATTGGAAACGTATTTTTCGCTCCATAAGATGCACCTGACCATAAGACGCACCTAGGTTTTAGAGGCGAAAAACAAAAAATATTCTGAACCAATGGACTGCAGACACAGTACAGGGGATGACCAGAGACTGCGGACACAGTGCAGGGGATGACCAGAGACTGCGGACACAGTTCAGGAGATGACCAGAGACTGCGGACACAGTGCAGGAGATGACCAGAGACTGCGGACACAGTGCAGGAGATGACCAGAGACTGCGGACACAGTGCAGGAGATGACCAGAGACTGCGGACACAGTGCAGGAGATGACCAGAGACTGCGGACACAGTGCAGGAGATGACCAGAGACTGCGGACACAGTGCAGGAGATGACCAGAGACTGCGGACACAGTGCAGGAGATGACCAGAGACTGCGGACACAGTGCAGGAGATGACCAGAGACTGCGGACACAGTGCAGGAGATGACCAGAGACTGCGGACACAGTGCAGGAGATGACCAGAGACTGCGGACACAGTGCAGGAGATGACCAGAGACTGCGGACACAGTGCAGGAGATGACCAGAGACTGCGGACACAGTGCAGGAGATGACCAGAGAGACTGCGGACACAGTGCAGGAGATGACCAGAGACTGCGGACACAGTGCAGGAGATGACCAGAGACTGCGGACACAGTGCAGGAGATGACCAGAGACTGCGGACACAGTGCAGGAGATGACCAGAGACTGCGGACACAGTGCAGGAGATGACCAGAGACTGCGGACACAGTGCAGGAGATGACCAGAGACTGCGGACACAGTGCAGGAGATGACCAGAGACTGCGGACACAGTGCAGGAGATGACCAGAGACTGCGGACACAGTGCAGGAGATGACCAGAGACTGCGGACACAGTGCAGGAGATGACCAGAGACTGCGGACACAGTGCAGGAGATGACCAGAGACTGCGGACACAGTGCAGGAGATGACCAGAGACTGCGGACACAGTGCAGGAGATGACCAGAGACTGCGGACACAGTGCAGGAGATGACCAGAGACTGCGGACACAGTGCAGGAGATGACCAGAGACTGCGGACACAGTGCAGGAGATGACCAGAGACTGCGGACACAGTGCAGGGGATGACCAGAGACTGCGGACACAGTGCAGGAGATGACCAGAGACTGCGGACACAGTGCAGGAGATGACCAGAGACTGCGGACACAGTGCAGGAGATGACCAGAGACTGCGGACACAGTGCAGGAGATGACCAGAGACTGCGGACACAGTGCAGGGGATGACCAGAGACTGCGGACACAGTGCAGGGGATGACCAGAGACTGCGGACACAGTGCTGGGGATGACCAGAGACTGCGGACGGTGCAGGGGATGACCAGAGACTGCGGACGGTGCAGGGGATGACCAGAGACTGCGGACGGTGCAGGGGATGACCAGAGACTGCGGACATAGTGCAGGGGATGACCAGAGACTGCGGACATAGTGCAGGGGATGACCAGAGACTGCGGACATAGTGCAGGGGATGACCAGAGACTGCGGACATAGTGCAGGGGATGACCAGAGACTGCGGACATAGTGCAGGGGATGACCAGAGACTGCTGACCTTTGGGGAGGGAGGGGGAGCGGGTACCTGAATTTGACAGGTACCCACTTCCGCGGAGTTGTCCTTCTCTCTTCTTCCCGGGCCGGCTTCTGTGACAGCCGGGTGCCCACTGCGCATGCGCGAGAAGCGCTGCGCTTTGTGAATGGCCCGGCGCCTTCTGGGACCTGTCATGTGTCCCAGAAGACATCGGATCATTCACAAAGCGCAGCACATGCGCAGTGGGCACCCGGCTGTCACAGAAGCAGCGCTGCAGGAGAGAACAGCTGAGCAGCCGGCCCGGTATTCTGAGATGTTGGCGGCAGAAATACCGGACCGGCCGCTTTATATTCGCTCCATAAGACGCACTGACATTTTCCCCCCTTTTTTGGGGGGAAAAAAGTGCGTCTTATGGAGCGAAAAATACGGTAAATAATAATTTACAAGATACATGAGTAAAGAGTGTAAATCCATTGTGTACAGTCTTTTGAGAAAATAACCTAGAATCTCCAAAAAACTGTTAATGCTTCAGTTTATGGCATTCCTGAACACTTTTGTCAGATTTCATTTTTTCAATAACGCTTAAGATTTATTTTTTGTTTTACCAGGAAATAACACTATATCCAGACAAGCATGGCTGTGTAAGAGATCTTCTAGAAGAATGTAAAAGAGCTGTTGAACTGTCTGAGAAAGGTTCAGGTAAACTTAGGTAAGTTTATATAGCTTTGATGTGTAAAGCCCACATTATGTTTATAACTGAGCACTAGAGTCTAGTGCATGCAACTTTCAGTTTTCAGGACTCTTTGCACGCTAATGGATTATATACTTATAAATGATGGTGATAGACATGGTTCATACACAAGCTATTTTTTTTAAATTTACAGTTGAACCAAAGTTGTATTCTGGTGAGTTTTAACTCTAATTTGCAAGTATGGTCATTTGTGCGGACTTACCTGGTAAGGCAACAGCAGTGACTGTCATCACTGCTGAAATTTTCAACAGATTTTTTTTTTTGGATTTACTCTTTTTTTGGCCATCCTGAATGGCTGGCTCAGGATGATGTAAATTCATTTGTGCTGTAGTTAATTCACCAAGCATGCCTTGAATGTTCATTGAGTTGCATTTGTGCATCTCCGTTCCCTTTCAGAAAAAAACATTCACAGCCATTCACGGTGGCGATCGGTGTTCTGTTGTTTCTCCTCCCCCCATCCATAGTTTGTCTATCGTTTCTATTTTAAACCGAATGGGTGAGGGTTTACAATCACTTTTATGTGATACCTTATATTCACTATCTTATTAAAGATGCAAGCTTTTAAAACAAGTTTTTTTTTTTTCTTTTTTTTAATAAAAAGGTCCTGAAAACATGTAATTTAGCAACGAATAGAAAAGTAAAATACAACAATTTTACCCATGAACAGAAATTGCTAATGAAATTTATAATAAAATACAAACTGTTTTTCTGTCTTTGGAATGCCTGTATAGCTTTGATTAGAGATGTGAAGCAAAATGGGCTGTCTTGTCAGATGTTATAACTTACATTATAATTGTAGTGGCATATAAATTGTCTCTGCTATTGCCACAGTCCGGAGTTTTAAATTTTGCAAGTTTACGTTTCCATTCCAACTTTTTCATTCACTTTTTGTGATCTTGTCTCTTTGGACTTGTCTCATAAACATTGAGAACTGTAGACCATTTAGGCAAACATCTGTTAAGGGAATCTGCAGCAAAACTACCCCTTAATTCTGTACCTCTGCTGTGATTCTTGGTATCCTGTTGGTGGTGTGTATATGTGTGAAGGTTTGCATCATTTCTGCAAGCATAGAGATGTTTAATTTAGTGCTAGCTATTCAGGGAAGCTTCTTAAAATCAGTAGTTTGATAGGTGATTGTGGATATGACAAATTAGGCAGGGGATAGGTTCTGGGAATATTTCTTGGAAGTATTTTATACTTTGGCAGGAGAGACTAGAAGAGTTTTGTGATTTTTCGTAGAACATCTAGGCACAAGATTTTAGGAGGTGACTATTTGATCCATGATAAGGTTACTGTTGTACAACAAACTTTGTTACACTGTTAAATTGTTATTACTAGCCGTGAATATGCTTCATTCTGCATGAACAGCTTGGTGTGTAAGTTTTCTGCATTCTTAGGTGCTAGGATTATTTAACACCCATGCTTATAAAGGGGAGTTGGGTAACCCGTGGCCAGCCAATTGAGGTGGCTGAAGAGAAGGTTGTGGTGACAGTGATGAGGGAGTTTGCAGCCATGTTATCATTGGAGGGTGGGATTTCAGGCAGGTTAGTCGGCTGTAGTGTACAAATATATTGTACATAATTGCACATTATGACAAAAGACCTGGGGACCCACAACAGACTTTAGTTCCGCTTTAGTAGAGTTTAGCAGCATTTTTTGGGTGTGTTGTTTATGATATTTGTATGGGGAAAGTCTGAATTTGCTCATTACTAATTAAAGTGTCAGGGCAAACGTCTCGGCAGTACGTGCACATTTCCCCATGGTTCATAGGTTACCTGGAATATCTCTTGTTAAATCACTCTTTGAACACTGGGAGGGTTGGCTGGCTGCTGAATGTGCACAAGAAAGTACTGACTCCTATAATATCTGGGTCTTTGCTCATTACATAATAAAGTGTATGTCAAGGTAAAATAGGAAAAAACATGGGCAGCATGTGCATATTTCCTTTTTTGGTTACCTGGAGAGTCTCTCTTGTTAAGGCAGAAAAAAAAATTTCAGCCAGCAGCTGCCAATACTGTAGCCGCTGACTTTTCATATTAAGGCACTTACTTGTCCAGGGATCCAGCGGTGTCCTCACCCCAAGCCGATTTTTCAGCCAGCTGTCAGGAGCTGGCGCCGCCATCTTGACTAAGAGAATCCAGCAGTGAAGCTGGTTCCCTACTGCGCATGGGCTGCAGTACTCTGGGGCCTGTTGAGTTTCCCAGAGAGGGCTGTTGTTCCTCACAACAAACTGAGCCGGAAGTTGGAGCGGGTACCTGTCAAAACCAGGTACCCTCATAAGCTTCCACCTTTGGATTTGGCTGGCTGCTTAATGTATAAAAGTCAGAACTGACACACAACATCTGGGTGTTGCATGAAACACTGCATTGGCCTGAATTTTTCTGCTGCAGGACCCACTCCAGGTTAATCAACTCTGCCTTGAGGCTAATGTTTCCTTTCAGCTGATACAGTTTTCACATGACATCCCTGAAGAGAACGCTCCTATCTGTTTGGTACAAGTGGTTCCTGTTCTTAAGACAGAACTTTGCTGAGTCCTCATGTTCAGACTTACCTGTTATGGTGGCTGCAGTCTCTGCCCCTGACAATAGGCAGGTATTTTCACCCCCTCCTGTGGAAAATGGTCAAAGTGGACACCAACCTTATGAGCTGCGGAGGAATCGCAAGAATCCTGACATTGTAGAACAGTTGGTTGCTGGAGGATGTAAAGCTTCTAGTCAGTACAATATCGTGGAACTTGAAGCAATTCAACATTCTCTTTTTTTACTAGGCTGTACAACTGTCTGGTCATCCAGGTCAAATTTAATCTGAAAGCTGTGGCATACATCAACCATTTAAAGAGAGACAGTGAGCTTAGAAGCATCCACATGGGAATGTGCTGATCTGGGCAGCATAACATGTTTCAGCTTTGTTTTGTGGTCCACATTCCTGTGTGTTTCCGTTTCTAGCTCCATTATTTTTAAATGTAATAGCCCCATTGTTCAGGCATATAAATCAAAAGGGATGGATTTCCTGTCTAAGCCTGCTTCATGAGTGAGTTCTTGTGATTTTTACCATTGGTCTTCTCTGTCTCAAGTTTGTTGAAGTGTCATTAAACCCATTTAAGCAAGTTTAACATTATCAGCAAATCTAACAATGAAAGTGGGAGCATTTAGCTCATATAAAAATAAATATAATTACCTTTATTGCTGTTTCAAACAGCTGTAAGGTGACCTAGTGTGCAGTGCTTGAGCTGCATTGTGAGATAGAGGGGGCTGAGCAAGAAAAAAGGATAAAAAAACCAAACTTCAGCAAGGGTATTGAGCTGGGGAAAGGGAGCAGATTTCGCTGTAATTAATCTGACACAGGAGTCCTTCCTCAGCCCCCTACTTAGTCTATTTCCCTATCTTTCTCTCATCTCTCTTTTATCACAGCTGCTGTACATATGGTGCTTGTTCTCTCCTTATCCTTTACTCAGCCAATATTAGTGGAGGCAAAGCAGTCCTGTGAGAGCTGGGCTTGTGGCCAGCAACTGACAGGCAGACAGGAGAAGGAAGGGCACCTGTAGCTGGAAGAAGACTTTTATAATATGAGCTGCTGGAAGAGGAAGAGAGGCTGGGGTGAAAGTGGCTGTGGGTGGACTGAAAAGGGACAAAGTCAGGCAGCATTGGAGCAGGCATCTGCCAATCAGCCTGCTGGAGCCACCCTTCAGAGTCACATGGGTTGGATTCCAGAGGAGAGAAGAAAGTGAATGAGGAACCAGGGTAGCTGGCAGAGCATGTGTAGTGAGTGTTGCCAGAGGATCGGCTGTTGTATTGCCACTAACAGAAGGGTGGTCCATTGGAAAGGCAGGATCAACCAGGTATTTATTTATACATTTTGGTAAGCTTCTGTACACAGGCGTAGTATATTGTTTGGGGTAAATTACACTTTAACCACTTGCCCTCTGGAAGATTTCTCCCTTTCACGACCAGGCCTTTTTTTGCTATGTGGTGCTGTGTTACTTTAACTGACAATTGTCATGCAAAACTGTACCCAGATTAAATTTATATAGTTTTTTTTCACGAAAATAGAGCTTTCTTTTGGTGGTTTTTGATCACCACTGAGTTTTTATTTTTTGCCCTTTTAAACGGAAAAAAGATCAAAAATCTTAAGAAAAAGAAATGTACTTTTTCCTATTAAACATATCCAATAAAAAGATTAAAAAAATAACATTTCTTAATAAATTTAGGCCAA